AAAAAAAAGGAGCAGTGTACAAACCACCCACTGTTAAAGTAATTTTACCTGAGTCACCTTTATTTATTTTTCAGATACAGTCACAGAGATGAATTTAGAGAACGAAAACCTTGTTATCTCACAATGAAAGTTAGAACAAAGAAGGTTACTGTATTTGAAAGCCAGATGACAGTTTTTGTTTGATCAGAATTTGATTTAAAAGGCAAACACCATTTCAATCAGAAATGCTAAAATCAACAAACCCAAGCTGTACAGAACAAGTACAATATTTCTGTTAACATCAGCACAGCCTTTATTGCTAAAGTAAAAAAAAAAAAAAAAAGACACCACAGTGTGACTACAGTGCTCTCAGTGTTTCATTCACGTTAGTCCAGATGATCCTTGTTCAGACAGCAGGCCGCCCTCAGAAGACCTCCAGGTCCGCTGAGTTGTAGACCACCGTGTCCTCAGTGCCCACAGCAGCTTCCTCCTCACCCTCCTCTTCCTCTGCAGCCTCCTCCAGTGACTCCAAGGCCTCATTGGTATCACTAGCAAAAGTCTCCCTGGAGACATCATCGTGCTCCTGCAGGTTTAACGTGCCGATGGCCTGCTTCATCTTCTTGGCCACCATGTGCCTCCTCCTCTTCTGGGCAGCCTTTTTGCTCTTTTGGTCCTTCTGCTGTTCCTCTAAGAATATCTTCCTGATCTGGGCCTTGGTGATGCTGGGCGTGTTCTTCAGCAGGTTGAGATACACCCCACCTGGGGTCCGCCGCCTGCTGCCATCCATGGTGTAAACACCACCGCTCTCCTCCAGCGTGGCGGTCTCTCCGAGCAGTTCTATGGCTTTTTTCTTTCCAACGACTTGAACAACACGTTCTATCAGATCTTTTTTGGGCTCCTGCAGCCTGTGTGCGATCTCATCTGTCACCTTATCATCAGGGTCATCCTCAGTGATCTCATACCGGCCCTTGACATCCATCTCAGCTCTGGGGCCCAGTCTGTCTTTAGCTGGCCTCTTCCTCTTGGCGTCGCCCCCTGGCCCGTCCTCTGACCCCCGGCCCTTCATGTACTCCTCCAGCTCTGCATCCAGCATGCTCACCTCTCCTTCGTTCTTTGGCTGGCTCTCCCGCTCCTTCTCCATGATCTTACGGGCCAGGACAAAATTATAAGTCTCTACATTTCTGCTGGACATGCTAACACCCTCCATGCCGAATATACTGAGCTCTGAAGTCACAGCATCCTGGCACTGCTCCTGGACCACAGAGCCCCAAATGTTGTTCACCTTGCGGCCTCCCAGCGCTCCATGGGCGGGCGCGGGGTTCGGCCTCGGCCGGACGGGGCACGGAGGAGCGTTGGACACTTTCTGGCGTTTGCGGCGCCAAACCGCCGCCTCCTCGTCTGACGAGTCCGCATCACTGTCACTGGACTCCGCCGTCCTGCCGGAGCTGCGGTAGGCTGGAGGCTGGGCTCTGCTCTGGAAGGACTGGCCGCTGAATGATGCTGATAGCTGGGGTCGAGCTGCGGCGCTTCTCATCTCGGTGTCCGAGCCGGAGCCGGAAATCTCTCCGTCTTCCAGATCACCGTCCATCAGATCCGCCATTTTTTTTGTCTGGAAGCCACAGCAAAGATAATGTCTGTTGACTGCTGCTCAAGTTAAGGCCACTACTTAGCGGTAGGAGCTAACTCTGCAGCATTAGCAGCTAACCAAGTTCATATGAAGCCTGCAGAGCGGAGCGGTCAGCCGGAAGTACCTTCAGATGAGCGGCAGCAGCTCCGTCTCTGCTCCGGAGCGCTCTGGCTTCAACCTGCTGGCCTCTGCTCTGCCTCTGAACTACTGTAAAAGAGCCTCAGAGAAGAAGTTGAGACTGGAGAAAATTCGCGCTGATCTGAACTCACACTTCCGCCTTACAACTGTCATGCCCTTTCAAAATAAACGCGATGCTTTCAGAATAAAAGGGGCCCTTTCATAATGAATTCAAAAAATGGAGGCAAAAAACACGAAACAGGTTTTTAAAGGGTCAGATAGTAACTTCATTGATATAGGCAGCAAAAACACATTTGCTCAGTTCCATACACTATAAATACACATGTATAGAATTTAGTCATTTATTTTGTAGTACTTTAGTACTCCACATTTATGTGCAGGATACAACAGAAGTGAGTACGACCATGTGTATTCAGATGCTAAATGATTTAAAACTCAATCACCTATTGATAGCTGTTTTATTTTTAGGTTAACTACTTATGAACAATCAGAAACAAATACTTAGAAAGACGATATTGAAAATTCAGGCCCTAAAGTAGAATTTCAGGACACCATCGAATGTGATCGTTATAACATAACTGAGTACATTTGTGATTTCCAGTGAGCCTAACTGCATGAAGATAGTTATAAAACGACCCGTAAACAGCAGAACTTTCTCAGTTTGGACCTATAGGCTGTGACTATGTGCATGTCTGCATAACATGCGTGCATAACACCGGCCTGTATGGACAGCAAAGACAAACACCTTCACCTGTTCTTTGGCACAAAGCTGCAAGATTAAATTTTGCTAAAAAACATAAAACGAAGCTTGATGAATGTTGTGAGTGCACTCTTTATCAGACAACACCCAGAATGATTTCTTTCAGATGGAGTGCAGCATGTTTGAAACTGACCAGGACTACCACAGTGAATGCATAGTTCTGAGAGTGAAGCACAGAAGTGTCACTATAATAATATGGTGTTGCATGAGTGTAAAAGGTGTTGGGGAGACGTTGTGTATAGATGGTATTGTGAATGCCTCTGGATATGCCAGCACGTTAGTGATCCAAAGCACACTAGCAACATCACACAAGAGCTTTTTGAAAAGGTTAAAACTATTACACAGACACGTATGCCTAACAGAACACATTTATTGTATTTTAAAGAGAAAGGTAGAGTAACAAACCCCTCCAGCAAATTGTAACTAAAAGTCTGTCATCAAAAATAAAGGTGGGCATATGAAGGATTGAAAAAAATGAAAGATTTGAATCTTAGTAACAAAAGACATACTTTTGTTGCATTGAGTTCCTACTGTGGGATCTGTGCTTTTAATATCGTAATTCATTAAATTAACAAATGAAATTTGACACAGGAACAAATACTCTGCTGTTCAACTTAGCAGCTGTGCAATATGGTAAGAGGATGCTATTTAGACCTGTTACTGTGGGGTTTTCACTGGGGTTTCCTCATTTTTGCTGCATACTGCACATGTTACATGTATTTAAATCTCTTTAATTAAAAATAACCAATAGGTTATGTCACCTTTTAGTCACTTGCTATATGTTTTTCAGTAATGGTTAATTTTCACAGGCCTGTGTTTAGTTCAGCAGCAGAATAACACAATAGAAACATCTTGAATGGCAGCATTTTAGAGGGTAAATTGCTTTTGTAAAATAAAAAGCTGCTTGTTCAGGTGTTTTCAGCTCATAACCGTGTTTTTCTGCTGCTGTGAGAACTTCCAGAGGTCTGTGTAACTGCTTGTGTTTGTCGTCTCGTGAGGCGGATATTGCGTCAGCGATAACGACGCCTGCGCAGTATTCCAGATAAACAATATGGCGGCGTCCTTACAGAACCTCACATTTGCCGGGAGATATCTCCTACAAAGATACTTACTGAAGACTAATTCTTTGAGCAGGGTAAGAAAAATACTTTCAAATCAGTGTTTTTAATGAAATTTCCCCTCTGTAGTTTCTTGACAGCTGTCAGTGGTCCGTCTAACGGAGGGAAACCTCGTTACGGCCGCTCACTGTTTGATAACTGTTCAATTAGCTAACAGCTGCGACATGTTCTGTTATTCTGAGATAATTCTTAAAAGTTTAGCGTAAGTAATACTGTGAAACTATCGACGACACGGTTATGTAAGCTGTTGCCGATTGAGAACAACTGACGTCAGTGTCCTAAATCTGAAGTGTCATGGTGACTGGTTCTCCTGCAGCTCTCAGCTGGACCGACCAGGCTCTTGGCTACTCAGGCTGCTCAGCAGGTGGCACTGAATGTCCCCGAAACCAAAGTGACCACTTTAGACAACGGGCTCCGGGTGGCTTCAGAGGACTCTGGGCTCACCACCTGCACAGTAAGTGAGAGGGTCTCCACATAAACACTTCTCTGCTGTTTGTAGTTGCTCCTGCTGCTTTTGTGTGTTTGT